TCTCTACACAGAAGTAAAGAAGCAAAAGGGTACATATAGTGAAGGTCCGGGTCCTAGTTCAAGCGGTCGACGATTCACCGCGGCGTCAACACCTCCAAATACCATCTTCCCCGGATGCATGACCTCAAAGAAAATATCTCCCAGAGCGCCTTCGGGAGCCCTGCCCCAACCTTCCACACTGATATCCCCAAAAGATGAACCAGGGAGCGGGGAGGGACGAAAAAACACAATAGCTCTCCGAAGCTCGAGGACCCTCTTTGGCAAAAGGAAGCCTCGGAGAGATAGCGGACCGAACAACCCTCGGTCCCGCTTGCACGGCTACTTTGAATTCAATTCTTGGAGCATCAAGCCATGCAAGCTCCCGGCTCGGGGCAGAGTTCCACATCGAGCCGGGGTATGAAGGTGAGCAGCGGTGTATAATCCGAGCCCCCTTTTGAGCAGCAGTGTATAATCCGAACGACTATCTACATAAGATGGAGACCGACTCCCCATCCATCACCACCTCGAGCCAACAGCAGCAGCAAAGGCCAACATACCAACGACCATAGCGTGACAACACGATTATGCTCAACGAAGGGACGTCCCGGTGAAGGGCCATAGCACAACTTAAGGGAGCTCCTCCTAACGACCTTGAGGCCATAAGCCCCAAGCATGATGTTCAAAGATAGAAGAAGATGACAAGAAGGGATAGGCATGCATGCCAATGAAGGTACTGGGATAGGAAAAACAACGCCAAGGCACCCCATTTATAGGGGGCAACAACACAGTCGTCGAGGCTCTGGAAGACTGATCGACGAATACAATTATTGCATCCTTGAAAAACCGAATCGACGGTAGTACTTTTACCTTGAAGAACGGAAATGACAGTGTATTGAGAATAAGTCTATGAGATATTGCATCTATCACAAAAGATTGCGCCACGATTCGAATCGCCAGTGTACTGTCGCCATGAGGAGTTCGAGGAGTCAATGGTCATAATCGTTTCCCATCGCTTCGTTCTGAGAAACACGGAGACTATCTGTACGCGGTGAAATCAGAGGGCCTCATTTCCCGCCATTAAGCCATCTCGGGGAGGTACCTCGAGACCCCGAGGACATGAAGCCACAACTTAGTCCTCTCCTTCGGGGATTGTCAAGGCCCGATTCGAGGCCGAGATCAGGACAAAGAGGGGAAGCTCCCAAGACACGCGGTTGAGTCTGACAGGGCCGGCCTATTCAGAGCCTACGATGAGGCATCACGTCAAGCCATCACATCTCCATATTTCGTAAATTAAATACACATGTATTCGTAACTGAGTTCCCCTCCTATATAAAGGGGACTCGCCCTACCTTGTAAGGGATTGGCGTTGCTCCATTTCTCCACAAGTGCAATAATCTCTCTCTCTCTCTCTCTCTCTCTCTCTCTCTCTCTCTTCTTTCTAAAACTTATTGGCTCTCACTGATCCGAGGATACCTCGATATCCTTCGCTTTTATATGAGTTCTTCATCGTATAACTTGGTTTTGACTATAAAGAGCTTTGTTTGATTATATCTTTAACTGTTATACCATCCTCGATTATCCCCGATAGCCCGGCTCGACCTTGAAGTCGACCGCGAAGTCCCCATCGGCCAAGCCTACATCCGGGCAGCAGGCCTTCGGTTCGATCATTATCTCGTTTTAGCTCACGCTCCATCGTTAAATTTCCTATTACTAGCATCCTCTGCTCTAACAACTAGCTCGGGAATAGATCACGTATTTTTAGAGTCCCATTTTACAAATTTAATTATCGTTACCATTTTCACGGTAAACAGCGTACAAGTCACAAAACATGAAGTGAAAATACTCAAGGCCTCAAACCGCCGAACGACGCACTGGAGCTCAAAACAACCGATCGAGTCGTTACAAACTATTTGACAAACTCTGGCTATTAAGTTTAACGAGATTGTGAAAAAAATACTAAAAAAAAAGGGCAGCCTGGTGCGCTAAGCTCCCGCTATACACGGGGTCCGGGGAAGGACGGGACCTCTGACAATAGAAATATACTAAAATAACAGAAATCATAAACGAAACTTCAAATGTGTGTTCCTGCTATATCTTTTTCTTTTTCCACAAATTCCTTTATATTTGACAATCCGAGTTTGTTAAATATTTGATAAAGAAGAAAAATGCTAACTTAATGCAAACTAGAGGATTAAAACTACTCAAGAATATATTTAAGGGACTATTTTGAAGAGGAAATGGTCAAAATGATCCTTAATGTATTACCCTTAATATATATGGTCCTTAATGTATATCAAAAGATAACATATTTGGTCTTTTGCCCTAAACCTAACTGATTTGTCAGAGAGGAATGTTAAATTTAACCTAGACGCCTCATGTGCGACTCACGTGCAATTATTAAAGACTACCTGCTATCGGTTAAAATTTGTAGCATAAAAACGCTTTCATTTTTTCCATCTTAAAACAGAGATTTGGAGAGGAACAAAGGGCTTTTGTGCACAAGAGCCCATGGATGAAGAGCTTGCGTCTCTTTCTTTTGTCTCCGTCATAAAAAATATTATTTTCTTGAAAAATACCTTATATAATTCTATTTTACTATAATTAAATAAATATTTGAAGCAAAAATTCTATGTTTTGTACTATAAAGACTTTATGGAGAGAGAAAAACGAACAAAGTAATCCGAAAACCTGAGATCAAAAGACCCAACCTTTATTGGTTTAGTTTGGTCTTTAAATTTAATAACCCGACCCAATCAATTTGATTTGGTAATTGAAAAGCCTATACCAACCCGAGCTAACACCCTATTGAAAACCATCTATGAACCTAAACCCTACTTAGAGTCTGGCACCCCTTTTAGAGTCTGGCACACATGTTGAGTTCACCCAAATTGTTTGCAAATATTCTTTTGTGACCTAATATTATAAAACAGTAACCCCAAATCGAATGCAACACTTTTCCATCGTCCAATATTTGTTTTCAAAAAAAAAAAAATTGAGAAACTGAAAAGGAAAAAATCATGAATGATTTGAAACTTTTTCTAAAAACAAACGCCATCTTCCAAATGGGTTGCGTAGTGGACCAAAACATCCAGAGCCAAGGGACCGCGCCTCTAAAGGTTAGTTTGATGTAGTAGTCCTAGTAAAAACATTTACATTGACGAAATATATTAAGCGAACAAAATTTTCTTTCTTTTTTATCTCTCTCATTTACCATTTGTAAAATTGGAGGTTCAAACTATTTTTAGATATTGACTCTATCATTGAGCTAGCAATCAATTGTTCAACAGGAAATGTTGATGGGAACAACTCAGTAAAAGCCATAAATCCGTTTTGCCATGATCAATTGGAAGAAGGATCCATACTCTTTAACATTCTTTCATTACACATAATAATCATTCCTTAACCAACTCACCAAACTAACACTTAGTACAGTGGGTGGGAACACGACTTTAAAACCCTTTTTTCTACGGATTTCCATTTTCGTTTTCTTTTTATTGCCATCTGTTTCTATTTTGAAGAGAGTATAAAAATTTACAATCTATTTCGTTCCATTTTGACTCTATCATATCAACATCCAATAATATTAATTTCATTTAATAATGGAAATTCTTTATAATTTCTATACACATACAAATCTTCAAACATAATTAAAAGAGACTCCTAGCAAATACTGAATCTACTTTAAACATGTCATTGTCCTTAAAATTACTAATTGCAGATAGTTGGCATCGTCCAAAAAGGCGTTGGACAACTATACTATAAGCTAGTCTCGGAAAAGTCTTTTTTTTTTTTTTGTTTCCCATCCGGTATTCGGTAACCGTAATGGAGGCCGACTATATCCGGACGCGTAGAGCCCCATTCGGGGGAAGCGCTCCCTACGAAGGATTATCTCGAGAAAGACTTTATTTGCCACTTGTTAAGATATTGCATCATCAAGTTCATTGTCATAGACGAATAATCAATAGCAGAGACCGATGTGCGTATTGCTTCGGGTGCAGCCGAATCCAATATTTTGGTACAAACATAAATTTATGTATAAAAGTTCACTAAAATTATAACAATTAATCGATATGAACCTATAATTTTTAAAAAAATATACAATAAATTCAATGCAAATACCTTTAAAAGTTAAACTCATAAAATTTAAATCCAAAATCCACATCTCATTATTGGCCAACAAAACTTTCAAGAAGCTGGTTCAGTATTGATAGGTTGCTGTCTCCGACTCTCCATAATTATGTCCATTTATCATTTAGGAGCGTACGTGTTTCTTTGTGTTTGTTACTCAGGTTGCTGTATATGATGCATTAAAATGATTTGATTACTGTTAGGTAGACAACAGAATACGCGACCTAATTACTTAAATATTCGTAAACTGTTTTCTTATATCGACTAGATAAAACTATATTTTTTAATACATTTGATATTAATTAAGGGGAAGGCAGATGATGTTACAAAGAACATATATTATAAAATAGCATAAAATTGGTTAAAAAAGAAACTTGTCTTTTTATAATAAATGGTTGTTATATAGCGATGTGTTATAGAAATATCTGACCGTAAATAAAAATGGAGAGAAAAGATCTGCTTATGGACAAGTAAGCTAGGCTTGAAATTATCTCGACTGATAATATAAATTATTAAATGAGTAGTGTTATTTAAGCAGTTTTATAATACACATATATTTCATATACACATATATTTCGGATATTAGCTCGTTTTTACAATACACAAGTAGTTATTTTATTTAACATTCTCTTATTTTTAGTTATTAAAGAATAACAGTTTTTTTATATTTAAATTTACTTCAATTTTAAACTTCTCACTTTATTCTTAATGAGATGATTTATTGATAAACAAGTATCTATAATATCTTCTAAACATCAATTTTTTTTTTTAAGATTCGTGTCTAGTCATATTAAAAAAGATGGGATAATATATATTAGTAACAATAATTCAAATCAGGTCAAATTAAGAATGAGTAACGCTTCACATGCAAGTCAAAAAACAGATATCAAATCAAAGACGTTAAGCCCAACGTAAACAACAACGAACCAAAACAAACAAAGCCGCCCGGTCCGGTCCCAAAGGAGCGTCTAATTCCAATTGCCACTTAACTCCCATTTTCTTCTGTTTATCCAACTGTTATAATGCGCTTGTAATCCCTGATTTTTCGTTCTATAACTCTCTCATCTTCCTCATGAAGCTGCCATTATATTGATGTGTTATTATTACTAGTATAATATAATATACTGCACACATCCCCAAAGCTAAATACTCAAGAAAATTCAGTAAACTCAATACCAATACTCCTGCAGTTTCCCCATTACTATGCACGTCTAGTTGTCTTCACACTCCCCCATAGCACCCCTTCTCTTACTATTCTCCATATTTTTTTTCTCTTGATCTAAGATTTGATCCTTTACTTGCTTCTTTTTTTGGGCCAATATAAACATATCGGGTTCCGTACAGTGACGAACTCCCCTGTTTCACTTTCAAGATCTGTTTCATGTCTTGTCCTTTTCTTTTCTGTTAAGCACTTTCCATTTCTTCCATTGAACTCTTCTTCAAGTGCTCAATATTTTCTTTCTTTTACGGTTGCTTCATTTGGTCCTAATAACCAAAATTATTAAATTGCTTAATTCCAAAAACCCAGAAAACCCCATATTCATTTTCATTAATAATTGTCATTTCTTGCATTGAACTCTTCCTCACGTGTTTAGATTCTCCTCTATTTTTCCCAAAAAGTTTTGGTTCATTCACCATATTCAGGATAGTAATCTTTTGGTTAATTTCCAAAACCCAGATAAACCCAAAGAGTATTGTCATTTTATATCGATTATTACGATTTGGGTATTAATGGGGAATTGTTTCGGGATATCAAGAAAGTTGACGTCGGAGATTGCGCCGGCCGACGTGATAAAGAAACACCCGGCCGTCAAACTGTACGGACCGCCGAATAATATTTCAACCTATTACATTCGATGTGCTCTGCTCTACAAGCCCGTGACTGTCCATTTTATTCCCTCAGAGACCCACCGTTCGCCGGTACTGGAGTACACATCCGACTCCGTTACAGGGTCCGTTAACGACGTGTTGCGTTACTTGGACGTGAAGTTTCCGGAGCCGAAGTTGTCGACGAGGTGGGGAATCGGTGATGAAACGACGCCGTTTGTGGTTTGGTTGGTAATACTACAACATAGGAGTATGACGTGGCACTTGGAGAGAATGGGGAGGTGGGGTGAGGACTTGGCGGGTCGGGGCGGGAAGGCACGGGGTGATCCGGCAATGGGGACTCCGAAAATGGAGGTGAGAAAGTTTGCGAGGAGTTATTCACAGTTGTTGGAGCTACTGCTGGAGCATGCTCAAATGGAGGAGAGAGTTGTTTTTCAAATCTTGGAAAAAGCTGATAGAGGTAACTTCAATATGGTCATATTGATAGCTATTTCCTTTCTTTTAATCAAATTTCTGAGCATTTAGAGGTGATAATTTGATTATTTGTTCCATTGATTAAGTGTAAATCAAGTAGTAGCTGATGTGGGGAATCTTGTAATCAATCAGTCAATTGCACCTCAATCCAAAATTTGAAGTTATGATCAAAGAATTCTCTGTATCTATTCTGTTTTACTATGGTTCAGTATTCAGAGGATTCACTATAGCTAAATTAGCTTTACACTGGTTAACATAGAGCAATTCTTCTCTTTTATCCGGACTTTGGATTGGTTATGCTTGGAAAATGTTCTTTGTTATGCTTAATTGCCTATTTTAAGAAAGATATTTTGGAAATGGAAAAGGGAACGGGGTTACAGTTTCAGAGTTGAATAGCAGTTTGTGCGATAAAGTTAGAAATTACGAGATTTTATTGATCGTTAAGAGGGTATATTGGATGCACAAAGATGTGATGCAGAACAAATTCTGAACTTTAGATTACTTTTTCTTATGGTGAGATTGTCATTTTTATGTAAGTTTACATAATTAACTTAATTGAAAATGAAACTTGAATTCAAAAAATCAAACAATTAATTCGATATTTAGAAGTATCCTAACTTGAATATAAAGTTCAAAAAATGGGAGAATATTTGTAAATAGCAGATCTGCCAAGCATACGTCAGAAGGGGAGTTTTCTCCTCAATTATTGGGAATGGGAAGTGACTGGTTAACAAGAATGTTTAGCTTATTTAGTTCTATATTTAGCTTCTTAGTTTCCAGACCCGACGGTGTGGGATAATACTGGGTGTGTTGTTGTTGTATTTAGCTTCTTAGTTTGTCCAAAGTAAGTTGCTTATCCAGATCATGGTGATCTGGTAGTCTATTGTTTTGCTGCAATATTATTGACCTCTAAATTGGTCACGATTCAGGATTGTCTAAAGCTGCAAATGAGGAGCATGCGAGGGACCTTCCGATGATGAATGGTATTAAAGAAGATATCAAATCTATCGGAGTTCTTGATTCAGGGCATCCTTCCTACCAAGAAGCCCTCTGCAACCTCTCTACTCGACTCAAAACCTTACAGGTTCATTCTGCATTCACTACATCAAGATTTTAGTCTGCCAAGTTCTACTGAAATATGGCTATCTATTACTAACAGTCTTACTATATATCTAATGCCAGGAGCATAGCAAGAAACACTTTGAAGAGGAGGAGAAGAATCTACTGCCGCTAATGGAGGCAGCTGAATTAAGTAAAGCGCAACAGGATAAAGTCCTAGACCAGTGCTTGGATGTAATGCACGGGACACACTCCCATCTCTTTCGTTTCTTTATGGAAGGCCTCCTCCCTCAGGACGCAATGCATTACTTGGACATGCTTTCTAGGTGCAGTGACCAAAACCGAGTGTCTTCAATGCTACGGCTAATTGTTGATAAGGTTGTGTGATTCTATTTTACGATCAATCATCGTTGCTTTGAAATATAAATAGTTATCATCGTCAATAGTTGTTGGTCTAGCTTTGCTTTTAAAGTGGAGCACTTGATGTTAAGCTCACTATAATTGCTTTGCTTTGCACTTCTTTAATGTCCAGTGGGGCTCCTAAGTTGAGTCCTTAAGCACCAATTATACCTTTTGTTGTTTCTTTCACATGGCAGATGCTCAAAGCAAAAGGGAGGAGAGGTTGCCTTTTGTTCTTTCTACTTTTCATTTTTTTTCTATCTTTTTTCTTTTACTTTAGCAGTTTAGCTGGTTATAGTTAGTCTGTACATAGTAGGGGACAGATATGCTTTGTTGGATGTTGCTTTGAATCTACTTCTCTGTTAATGTAAATAATTCGATGTGGATATTGTTGGCTTGTTGCTTTTCTGTAAATAAGGTTTTGTCCATGTTTTCTTCTTGAGCTGAGGGTCTCTCCTGGAAACAGTCTCTCTACCCCTCAGGGTAGAGGTAAGGTCTGCGTACATGCTACCCTCCCCAGACCCCACTAGTGGGACTACACTGGGCCGTTGTTGTTGTTGTTGTTGTTGTTGTAAGGAAAAGTCCATGTTCATCTAATTTCTTGCATAGCATGCCACTGATTGATGCCTTTAGCTTTGGAGAATAAAATGAGAATATAATAGGATTGCAGATAACCATAGCTTCTTCTTTTCTGTTATGCTTTTTTAACTTTTTGATGTCTTTTCCTTTGTTATTCTTCACTTCCAAGTTACGCTGCATCTTATCCATTTATATTCTGCAGCCTTAGGATACTAACAACTTGTTTGGATGATTGTTACTTATTGTATTGTATCGTATTGTTATTTCAAATACGATGTTTGTTTTGGTTGTTACTTAAATTTTAGTGTATCGTATCATTAAATCCGTCGTTACGTAACGACGAAATGAGTCACTTTATGTAACAACCGATTTGGTGTGATTGCATCGTTATCTTATCTTTTTTCTCATCTCGCCCTTCATTATTATTAAATAATTTTATTTTATCATTTAACTTACTTTTTATATAATAAATTTACTCCATATCATAGTTTTTCTTTATAATATTGCAAGTTTATTCTTCTTATTGCTGATGCATGATATCATGAAACAATGGCAAACGGTACAACCTATCCAAATGTTGTATTCATTGAACGATACACTATAATACAATACAATACGATACATTATGAAACGATGTGTAACAACCATCCAAACAAGCTGTAAAATAATTGCTAAATTAATTTTGTTAGTCTTTATTCTTGGAATATAACAGTCTGGCCTGGGGTTTACCGCAGACATGTCGGAACACTTCTTCTTTTTTTTACTTTTAATTTTTTTTCAAAAAAACATATAACTTGTCTGTTCAACTTTATCTTGTATATTTCAGCTTATCCCGATTTCCAGATCTAGTTCCATCAAATTATGAAGAATACTGAATACAATGTCCAGCGCAATTAATTCTATCTACAGTGTTAAAAATTGATGACAGTTGGCCTCACTTCTATGAATATTTTCAATTTTTGAAATTTAAATTTGCCCAGTGTAGAAGCACTTATTAGGCGTAATAAATTCAATCTGGAAAGCGCACGTGATTTTAGTAGTCTTAACTCTTACGAGTACTTGCATTAATAATATTGACCCAACCGCTACATATGCATCCATTCATTTGGTTGAAACAACTTGACAATTTTCTGGGAAAGAATTGCTTTTGACTCTCAAAAATGCTTCCAACTCCTTACTATTTTCAGTGGAAGATGAGATCTTTGGGTTGTTTTTCATTTTAACATAACATTTTAGATATCGTTCAGCCAGGAAAATACCATAGACTTTAATCACAAATGTGTTAGGATATAATGGAGTTGGTGAATGTCACAACCCAAATCTCACATATCGTGATAGCGCCTATCGCGATACTAAGCAAGCCGACATTCACAATAAAAACGCGCATTTTTAATTTTTGGAAAACATAATAATATACGTTCAAGAGAAAAATCTCATAACTACTGATAAGAAAATACCGTGAGTCAATACAATATTCCCCCAAAATTCGGGTATCACTGAGTACATGAACATCTATACAATAACATGGTCTGAAACACTGTCTAGGAGGGTAGAACAATATAAATAAAACTAAGAGATAAAGGAGGAGAGTCCAGATTTGCGGACACCAAAGCAGCTACCTCGATAATCTCCGAACTGGTAAAAACTCCAAATCAGCAACCACCGTACCCGGAAGTACCTGGATCTGCACACGAAGTGCAGAGCGTAGTATGAGTACAACCGACCAATATACCCAATAAGTAACAAAACTAACATTTTAGCTGAAAGCAGTGTACACTCCAAATATAGAAATAACAGTACAGAAATATAGACATGCTTTCAAGTTAGTCAGTTTAAGCTCAAACGGACAAAATTTGCCAAGTGTGACTGAAATAAGGAATGATACATCTCTGTCTATACATGTCAAATATAAATGCCAACTGTAATGCAACGCGGTGATAAAATCATATGCATACTTTCGGAGTATCAATGCACTCAGCCCTCCCAGTCAGGGGCGGTTCAAGCGTATATGGGGCCTAAGGTGAAAGTTTAATATGAGGCCTTATTTTTCATTGTTTGTCAAAAATTTGTCAAGAGCTCCTTTTTGAGATTTTATTAAATTTTCAACTTTTATTTTCTTTTGTATTTTTGAATAATCAGATGCATATTTTCTTGTTGACATATTTATATTCTAAAAAAAATAATATGCACAGAGTAAAATTAATAAAATAATAAATAACAAATAAAAATAATACTAGAAAGTTAGAATGATATTACCCAATGACGGACTGATTCAAGAAGTTTGAAGACTTCCAAAATATCTAGTTGTTGGCTTGTTGGAGTCTTGGAGAAAGAAAGAAATCCAGGAGATAGAATTAAGAAAATGAACATGAATCATGAATAAAGAGGAAGGAAGAAGATATGTCTTCTGGAATATGAAGAATGAATGGATACTAGTTCTAAAATTGAAACGTTGGCTAGGGATTACTTGGAAGAATAAAAAGTAGAGTTGACAAATCAAATCAAAGTGACAATTATTTTCCTACTATTTTAAACTTTAATTTATTAATATATCTAAAGTTTTTCTTTCTTTTTATATGAAAAGTACAAAAGTACTATATACATAAATTTATTTTTTAAAAGAAAAACCTATAAGCCTATAACCCCCCCT